CGGTTTACAAAGAAGTTGGGTTGGTTGGTTGGTGTTTTCACTTTGATTCTTGCAAGCCCTTTTTCTTGGTTTTCTGCAGTTTGGAGAGATGGATGGGCTTTGGTAGATTGGTTTCTATTTATTCTCCTTGGTGTTCTCGGAGTGTTCCAGATAAGAGCCCTATTTCAAAATGGCTTCATTTCCCCTTTCACGATGGGAAGCAGGAAAGAGAAGGGCACTTCTCCCCTCTGCAGCATTTCAAAGCCAGAGATTGCATGTGGGGAACCCTCGGTTGGGCTTCCAGGAATTCTGGTGGTGGTTGTTGGGTGGCACTGGGCTGACCCAGCTCAGAGAGATGGGAGTACAAGGGAAGGAAACCAGGGCTCGGTCCTGCACCATGGACATCTTTGTTATTTTGGAGCCCATTGTTGCAGCCCTGTGTTAATCCATCACACTGAGAACCTTCCTCCTTTTTTGCTGCCCATCCACGTCACTAGGCACGATGCCCTTTTGCAGACTGGTCTCTTGATAGCATGTCTAAAGTACATGACACAAAGTCTCCCCATCCTCACGTCTAAGGAGCATTCTGGCTGCTCTTCTTCCAAGACAGATTTGTTTGCTCTTTTGACAGTCCATGATACTTTCAAAACATGCCAACATGCAATTTAAATGCATCAGTACTGGTTCTTCTTGGGTCGTCCTTATTCACTGTCCAACTTTCGTGTGCACATGAGGGAAGTGAAAATACCTTAGTCTTCAAAGTTACATTCTTGCTTTTCAGCACTCTGAAGAGGTCTTGTGCTTCAGATTTAGCTAATGCAATGAGTCTTTTGATCTTCCTGGCTGCTGCTCCCATGAACATGGATCGTGGATCCAAGCAAGACAAAATCCTTGACAACTTCAGTCTTTGCTGCATTTATCATGTTACCTGCTGGTTCGATTGTGTGCACATTTTGGGCTTCTTTGTAATCCCTACTGAAGGCTGAAATCCCTGATGAGCAAGTGTTTTAAGTCCTCCTCATGTTCTGTAGGCAAAGTTGGGTTATCTGCATGTTGTAGGTTGTATAGAGCCTTCCTCCAATTCTGATACCACATTCTTCTTCATATAATCCAGCGTCTCTGATGATTTGCTCAATATACAGATTGAATAACCATGGTGAGAGGACACACAACCTTGGTGCACATGTTTTCTGATTTGAACCATGCAGTGTTCCCTTGTTCTCTTCACACAACTGCCTCTTGGTCCATGTACAAATTTCACATGAGCACAATGAAGTGTTCTGGAATTCCAGGGTTGTTTTTTGTTTCTTCAAGGAGATTCATAGGTTGTTGAATTATTTTTGCCTATATCAGATATCACCTCAACTCCTGGGCCCCCTCCCACACCCAACACACACACAACCACACACACAAGCACTCCTTCCCACCATCACATATCCAACAACTAAGTAAGACACTCCACATTTGAAACGCCTGAGATGTCATTCTTTTATGGCACTTACTAGGCAGAAAGACAAGCCTTGCTTTATACACCTCCCTCCCACTTAGCTGGTAACCCTCTGAGGGCAGGGACCGTGTAATGAATTTTGGACAATCCTTGACTGATGAAGGAACTTGAAGATGGGGGCTGAGGAAAGAGCAGGGAAGATACTGAACAGCGGTGAGTCCTGAGCTTAAAGTGTGGACAAGCGCCACCAAAACAAAGCTCAAACCAGAGCCCTGACATCAGGTTGATTCTGACTCTATAGTACAGAGTAAAATTGCCCCTGTGGGTTTTCAAGGAGAGCAAAAAGCCCCATTTTGCTCCAGCACAACAGCCAAAGCAGAGGGCAGGTGACCCAAGCGAGCAGAGCTCCAGCCCTGGCTGATGAGCTGGAAGTGTGGCACGTGAAGGAAAAGGAGCAGTCAGGTGCTTGGTAGGTGTTTGGTTGGTGCCAAATAGAGGAGCGGAAAGGGACTTTGTGGATTGGTGGTGATGAATCTGAGTCGTCCATTAGGCTTCTTGTAGAGAAGTTTGGAGGCAGTCAGCTACATTTACGGATGGTTCCCAGGCGTTATCAATGGAGGGACTAAAATCCGATAGTCATTAGCCCCTCCTGGAAAGCTTTAGAGGCCCAGTCCCTTCTGACAGCTCTGCTTTACCCAACTGCTCTTTCGCGCACCTTTGAGGCGTTACAGTGGAGGCGGGGTGGGCGATGGGAAGGAAGGAGTCAGTGGAGAAGAGAATATCCATTTCTCACGAAGTCCCAGAATCCCTGTTGTGATTGGGGGAGGGGGGGCGGCAGTGCTAAGCCCCCTGAGGGAATGTATTCTCAGAAAGGCAGCCGAACCCATGACAGAGCCTTCTTCCCAAGCAAGGCAGCTGGGGATACGAAGGGCAGTTCCGTACTCAAACGCAAACTGAGTGAAACTCCCCACCCCACTCCCCGTGGGTTTCTGCTCCGAGACGGTCGCTTTGTTCAAGGGCCTGGTGGTTTCTAACTGCTGAGCTTGCGTTCGCAGCTCGGAGGCCTAACTCCCGGCGCAACCAGAGCCCTTAAAGAGCACTGCTTGTAGGTAACCTGCAGACGTGTCTGTTGCCTGCCAGGCCAGGTGAACCCTGCCTTGACTCTAAATGCCAAAGAAAGATGGCAACCTGCCGTCCTTCGCACCTGGTAGACGTGGCAGTCGTCACAAGAGGCAGAAACACTAGAAATGAAAGGGTTCCATCTCCTTTTCTAGCCCCCCACCCCCACCACCGCCACCACGCTCTTAGGTCTACGAGCAGAACGTCCGCCCTGCCTTCAGCCTTTAGGAAGTTAGCCATTTAGACTGCCCGGTGTCTTCATTGGGCCCACACCCTCCCCCAAACGGCGGTGATTTTTTAAGATGCGAGACCCTGCTTCAGCGGTTCCCTCGTTGGGCCCCTAAGGATGAGAGGGATCACTGAGCCATAATCCTTCCTAACCTCTGACCTCTGGCTCCTTTCCTTTAACCAACCCCCCTACCCCCACAGTGCTCCAGCCACCACCTCCCCACCGTCCTTCCTCCGAGGTCTTGGGGGTAGGGGTGCCCCCCCACACACACTCTAAAATCGCGGAGCCGGAATGGGAAATGCCTAAGAGACAGAGAGCAAATGAGAAGGGCTCTCTTGAAGGGTTGCGTTTCTGAAATGAAATAGAAATGTAGGAGAGAGGTTTGGGGGAGCGGGGTGGGGGGGGCGACAGGCAAGACTGGCGTGCTGCAGCCCTATCTGTGAGCTACTGGCTCCTGGTG